TTACCTTTTAAAATGAAGCTTACAGGGACAGATGATATTCTCTAACACCAAAGATAACTGCTTCGTTTTAAAAACGAATCTATTTTGAGTTCAGTTAATAACAACATATATTTTTCAGACTTTATAGTTAAAAAAACCCACTATGTCTCAAATCTAGTTATTCCTAAAATAGAAGCTGTCAGAATTCAACCTGAAAAAATGTGTTAATGCCCGATTTCTGCGAGGTGCTAGCACTGTTTGTATCAAATCTTCCAAACAGAACATCATTTTCAGGCAAAAAAGCTTTATCAAAGCATGCATGCACCCCCCCACCTTGAAAGTTCAAATGTAAAAATGGACGTGATCTACTTGAAAAACATTTGGCTGAAAAAGTTGTGCTTTCCCACAACACACACTGTGCAGATCAGCCTTGTGCCTGCAGTTGATCCCAATGAAAGCAGAGTCCCAAGTCTTTACAGTAATACACCTGAGGTGACCTAATTGCCAGATCAGGATGTCTAGCTATAAATAAAGCCTAAAAATTACTAAAATTCAAAAACAGCAAAAAAAGGTATTTTCTTCTATTTGTTCTGCCTGGAGATATTTTGTGCATATGAGAACACCCTGTGTACAGTTTCAACTATGCACAGTTAATCAGTCAATTTCTCCCTTGCTGAAAAATTATTTAAAAATTAAGTTTATTTCAGGAAAATATTTATAAAGCATCTCTGAGAAGCCAGACTTTATGGAGGTTCATGCCACCAGTCTTTTTAAGATTATTTTACAGATCATAGTCCCCAAATATTCTAAAGCTTATGAATGCACAGTTGAGGTGCCAGACAGCATCTTAACTGTGCCCTCAATCAGTGCTATCAGCCTCCCATCTCCCTCTATTTTCTTTTGTATTTTGACCCAAGTGCCTCAAGTTACACACACAAGGTCCATACATACTATATACATATACAACACACCTGTCACTGGCATAGACCCAGCTAGCTTCCACCCCTTTCCCTGTTAAAATATAAAGACAGATGATGCAGGGAACACTTAACATGGCCCTGGAGTTTGAGAAAACAGTGGCAGGGACTGGCTGCGCTTCCCTCTCCCACATGGAGAGGTGGAGGATCCACATGTGAAAGGTCCCCTCTGTAAGCAGCTTTGGACAGTGGGGAGAGCATGTTCCAAACCCCACACAGATTTTAGAAGACATCACTAATCTATTGCATCCTTTTCCATTTTCAACCCAAGTAAATGTGGAAAGAGCACCACTATTTCTGCCAAATCTACTCTCTTCCTTTTCTCCTGTCACTCCCCTATGCATTTTCCTGCACTACGGGTTCCAGAACATACTTGTAGCCTTTCCCATCGTCCTGTGGGAAAGCAGCTCTACATGTTAATAACATCTGAACTATTTCACTGTGCCAAACAGCATACATTTCCCCTTAAACAATTACAAGCTTTTAGTGCTACGGAAACTACACTGAGCCACTAACTATGTAAAAATCACTTGTTCCCATATATCCTACAATCTCCAATGAATCACTGAAGTTGGGGATTAATGGTCTATAACAGTGGTTTTCAACCTGTGGTGCATGGACTCCAGGGGTCTGCAAACTATGTTTAAGGGGTCTGTGAAAGACAACTATGATCAAAAGTATGTGAATATCCACACTTACAATTCAAAAGGGTCTGCACCTCCATTTGAAATTTCTAAAGCGGTTTGCACCTTCATTCAAAAATTTTTTAGGGGTCTGCAAATAAAAAAAGGTTGAAAGACCACTGGTCTGGAACAACAAACAAAAGCTAGGATGATTCCCAAGCCGTCGTGTCAGATGATAATAGTTTCCAATTCCGGTTGCTCAAGACAGAAACCACTAGTATGTCAGAAGTGATGCTATTTTGAAAAGACAGTTATCAGAATGATGCGATTCTAAAAGGTAGAATATTTTGTCACCTGCCAAAGTTATAAATGACCAGCCTATGGCACTTGAAAGCTGGGATTCCCTTCTTCCACATCAGAATAATAATCTTGTTTCAGCGTTGCTAGCTCTCAAGATATTAAATAGCAGATGTGGCATTAGTACACCAGTCTAACAGTGCTTTTCTGGCCATGCTCCAAGAACTATCCTAGCTTGAAATCTGACACTTGCTGTAATCATCAACCTCATGAACTACCTAGCCAAGGTGACACACACAAAGCCGTTTCTTTGGTGGGACCAAGTCTGTTTTACTTTACTATTTCATATATCAAAAAAAATCTAATTAGTCCACTGTCTCAGAGACAAAGTTATGTCTATGCTTTATGTTTCAGCAGCAGCCTCACGGTCTCATACAAAGATTAGTATTTAGAAGGTGCAGGATTCAAAGATTTGCTGCAGGATGTCATGTTCATGTAACAACCAAAGACTAGATTGATTTAAGACAAAGACTCTTCTCAGAGTTTTGCTTCAGGTGAGTTTGTTACTTAACCATTTTCATATTCAGCAACATTTCATGCAATGAAACACTGGGGACTGAGTTTTCCTTGATATGCGTACTGCAATCACCTCTAATATTTGCATTAACATACTTGCCAATTAATGCCCCCTCCTTATAAAGATATTTTGATTCCTTAGCATATGCATTAATATATTCACAGAACAATCTTTTTATTAGCTTTTGAACCTTCTCAACAACACAATGGGCCTCACTCAGTCAAATGGGCATTTACATCAACTACATTTTATCCTTGTTGCCTTCTTGGGTTTATATTCTGCAAATCTGTATTGTGTTATACCTTTTATAGTAACAATTACTTTAAATTTGGGGGTTAGTTATTTTAATAATTTTTTTTTTTAAACTAAAACTTCACAATTTGTGAATTGTGTCTTCACAATTACTGATCTTTTAAATTTGTATGGAATTAGCATTTGTTTCTGCTATTCCTTGTCTGCCTATCAATATTCAATTTCTCATATTTAAATAAAATTAAAATGCAAAAACAGTATTGCAAGTGAATACCAATATTAGTGATCACACTATTATACAAATAAAAGCTACTTGTGTCAAGTAAAATACTGAATATACAATTAATTTGAGAATAAACAGACTTATGACACTGACATATAACTATTTTTATCTGATACACTAAAGGCCTTGCTATTTTTGCCTTTAATTAAAATGGACCAACATAGAAGAAGACATCAACCATTTACACAGGCTGTATCCATATCCTTTTTTAAGGAGAGGAAAGAAGCCATGCTGATATTCCTGCCACAGCTCACTAAAACACTAATTTGCTTATCATACTGGAAGCCAAGGAGTAAATACAAAGTGCAATGTATATACAATTTTAATTTTCATTATCATCCTGCTTTCTTACACACATTTAGAAAATCCTACTTAATTATACTCATTGCAGAACCAGTACCACCACCAGTATAATTCATATTTATGGGCAGCTACGCACAAGGAAGATTCTCAGCAACATTAAAAGATTAAGACTTGTAAAGCATACAGGACTAATTTTAGTACTGAAAGCAGAACCAACCTATTGTCAGTAGCGTGAAACATTCTGATGTTATAAATAGAGGCTTGTGGGGCTTAAGAAGACTGCACAGTAGACGTACATTTTCAGTCATACAGCCAAGATTAAGTACTACCCTGGGAAAGTCATCAAGAACAAGTCTTTTCAGAAACTACCAGTGAAGAACAGCAAATAACTAAATAGTGCTGTGGCACATATCACATGGGAAAGCTGCCCCTTTTATGATAAATTAAATATCACGGGACCGCACTCCTGCATCACACAGATATTAGTTTTGCTATTACACTTCCAGTAAAGCAACTCAAATTTGGTTTCTGTTTTCTGATAAGATCTATTTTCAACTGTCATCCAGGAATTGAAAGAAAAGAAAAACAAACAAAATAAACCCATGAGGATCCAGAGAAGCCTCTGGAACTCAAACCAGTTTATTTGTCTTTTCAGGTAAGAAACAAAGACTTTTTTACCAACTAAAATGTTTAAATATTTAAACTCCCCTGATCTTGCAAGGCAGTCCTTTGATCTTTCTGCCCACCTCCCCATTCCTGTCTGCATTTTCCTTTAAGAATACTCAGTATTTAGTTAGGATCTCTACTGTCCTTGTCAAAGCCTAAGCAGTATTTGATTGGGTTAAATATGAGGTTTTTCTTCACTATCCTATTCTGAATGGGATAATCTTCCAAGGAACAGAGAATGAACATTTTTCATGACAAGTTTGGAAAATGTAGGAGAGGACAACTACATAAGTTTCTGCAAAGTGTTGGAGAGATGTTGTAGCTGTGATGGTCAAGGATATATGTGAAGGGCAAGGATGTTTGTGAACGATATCCTTCACTGAACCAACTGCATGGTTGGGATAGAGTTAGACAAGTTTTTCAAATGAAGAGTATAAATGTTAAAAACACCATTTTCAGAAATATCCATTAGTATATAATTCTTCTAAATTTTCCCTTCAAATGGGCAACAAGATATGAAGGAACACAGACAAACACTGATACGCATTTTTTGAAATCTGGCAACAAGTCTCTAGTAGCCCGTAAGCATTTCAAAGAAAGCCTTCCAAATGGGAAGAAGGCAGCACTGCCTAACTTGGAAGACCTCACTTGTACACGCCTGCTGCTCGGGTTTGCCAAGCAGAAGTGATGTGAAACAGAACTGGTCAGGTTCACTATGACTATTCACAACCATTTTTCAGAAGGTGACACAGTCATGAATCACGTCTGCAATATCCTACTGCTTGCCAAAGTTACTGTTGACAGGAGTTACCCAGAAAGTAAAACCCTCCCCTCTTTCCTCGACTTGTAAAAATGCCTGGACAAAGCAGTATTATCTGTCTTCTCTCTATCAGGAAGAACAAATATAGAGACTTGAAGCAACAACAAAAACAACAAGTTATGCAGGGTAGACCTCCCGACTAATTAGCAGATCATAACAGCACTTTGGTGAAAATACCACTAACTTCCCCGTTCTTCACTGCAGCTTAGCGCAGCAGTCTTACCTTTTCATCAGGGCATTTCTCCTGTATTTTGCTTCTAGAGATGGTCCTTCCGTATCTAGCTCTGGCTAGCAGGGTTAAACATCCAGCTAACAGATGTCTGGTAAATATGTTTCATCACCTGCAAAACAGTAAAAGTTGAGCCAGATTCAGTGATCAAATGTTGTACCTATTATTTGCTCAATAGCACAAGTCACAGTAAATTAACACTTGTGACTTTTGATGTAGACTTGGTTTAACATGTATTGGATCTGTGTCACACAGACTGTAACACTAAAAAAGAGAGAGAGAGAAAAGTCTGATTTTTACATTGATTTAAAATTGAAATACCTGTTTTCGTGGAGTATTATCCTTTTTGTTACCTTCAGTCTAGCATTGTTTCATGCATTGAAAAAACTTGCAGAATAATGATAATTGATACTCTAAACAGAAGGGAGCTAGTTTCATTTTGATTCTCTCACCGTCCTCTGACAATCTCCCTCTTTCCACTCCCATTCGGGAACTCCCTAACTTTCTCTTTACTATACATGTTAAAACTGAAAGTAGTTTGGGTCTAATATCCTTTCAAGGCCTGGAGGAAAATGTCATTCATCTTTTCAAGATGCTGATATTCCAGCAGACGTCTCACACTTCTGCCACCCTCTGCAATACTCACTCTCATCCTCTCCTAGACCTATCCTTATTTCAGTACACCCCCCAACTATCACTAGATTTTTCCTCCCCATTTGCCATTACAACAAACAAACATTTTTTTGTTACATGATGTACTTCGTCACCAGGCCTTACCTAGGTTATTTATCTCACTGTTCTCTTAGTGACCCCGCTGCTTTTGATTTTTGAAAGGATTGACTTGATTAGATATATTCATTGGATAATCATTTTACTCTGTCTTTTTCAGTGAAATATACTTGAAAGGCCACCTCAAACAGGCAAACTTCTTATGCATAAATACATTCCCCCAACAGTAATTCTTCAGCATTCATATTCTGAAGAGTACTTCACTAGACAGATACTGTCTCCGACTCTGTTCCCCCAAGCTTAATTCTCAAAATGCTCTATACAATCGCAAACATGTATGGACCTGAGCTTGAGAACCACTACTTTAAAATATTCCCAGGCTTTTGGGGACATTTCTAGTGAATAATCATCTAGACATCCCACCCCCTCTTTTTTTTTTATTCCGAGAAATGTGTGCAGGCTGGGCACTTGCAGAGTTTAACGGGCTTCACTGTATTTCAAAGTAAAATACTTGAATGAGTTTGTGACATGCATATTACTTATGTCTGACAAACTGATTTTCTATTTTACTTTCTAGTAATTTTCCATATTGACCATTATCTGCTGTCAGACCAATTTTTGTCATAAATGATTTCTAAAGAAAAAAGGTCAGTGCTTTAAGGAAAAAAAAGAGAGACCTCACACTCTATAACTACTTTATTTAATTTTTTAAAAATACTTCCAATGGCAAGTCATTTCCAGTTGAATACATCTCAAAGATGCACATAACCATTTCCTTTCTAAGAGGGGGGACCTTTTCCAGATAAGCAGTTATATATGCAATGACTGCCAGTGCCCAAGTAAACATGTTCTGGTTTTACTCTGCTCTCCAAATCTTCATTGCAGCAATTACTTCCAATTTCTTTGCACCCTCTTGCGAGTCAAAAAGGAAATTACCTTACTCTTCCATGTCTACACTAGATGAAACAAGCAGCAGTTTTGCTCAAAAATTAATAAAAATAAAACTAAATGAAAAAAAAGCATAGGTTACAGCTACTTGAGGTTTCCCCCTCAAATGTCTCATCTTTCCTTTCAGTGGTCCAGCACCACTGCTGCCAATAATAAAAGATGAAGTAGAGTCAACTGGTCATCAAACTTTCGGTCACTGTATTGTATATAAGCTTTCAACGGTGATCTAGATAATGCTGCGGTTACAAAACAGCAGTGGCAGGTGCTTCTGGGTACTAAGACATCTACTACTGCTAGCGCTGTTGAAGGTGCACTGGTAGAAGGCTTGGGGAAATAAAGTTTGGTGCAGACAAAGTTGTAGAAAGAAGCTCTTAAAAAGCCTCATATCTGTTGTAGGGGGATAGGTCATAGCTGTGTTGGTGTAAGGACATAGGCAGACAAGTTTCTTTGGGTAAATGTGACCTTTTCTTAGACCAACTCAAATCTCAGTCGTTACATTAAGGGGCCTGGTTTGGAAGACCTTTGAAGTGAAGAGTTCTGCCACTGTGCCTGAAGTTCTCAAGACATGTACAAAGAATGACGAATACATAAAGCTTTGACATCCTCATTTCCCCTTTGGAGTACAAGGCCCTTGGGCACTGACCCCAACTCCCAAAGAACTTGTGCTAGCTGCCCCCCACTTAACAAAAAATAACCTTCATATCGTCAACATCATCTCATACTTCATAGGCTCTATGGTGCAGAGGTGAGAGATGATACCATGGGAAATCCCTCTCTCCCCACATTCACTCTCTCACCCTGTGGAGCACTAACCCCATAGGAGATATATAACTACCCCACAAGAGTGAGAAAAAAAAACAGAGCATGAGGATACATTACTCTGCACCAAAATGGACTTGATTATTTGCAACATCTCTTCTTATAAGACAACTTGTACAATTAAAATGAAACAAACAGTAGGATATTTAAGAGCTACATGAATGTGGCATCATTACAGAAATGCCTATTCATTTGTGCAGTTTCCCCAATTGCATGCAACAGAATACACGTACTTAGCCCAGATTGTCAGACCTCTTTATGTCTCAGACTTATTAAAAATGGGGAGGGACATGAAATAAGTGTCCAGTGACACAAGCTGAGATGCTAATGAAGCAAAAGCTCTATCATCCACAGACCTTAGACACCATGTCGGAGGTCTTAAGAAACGGCTGTTATCAGAGGACAAATGACTGTCGAGTCCTAATATGCAAGATAAGTCAAAAACCACACCCTGAAACGAGTAGCTCTGAAAACCACCAGGAACAGCCTAGACTTAAAAATCTGACACTTCAAGCAGCAGCATAAAAAACAAGCACAAAACTGGGCCGTAGTCATGCTCCTCAGTCCAAAACTATTTGCAAACAGAACACAGGGCAGAGGTGTACCTTATAGACTAAATGAATCAGACATGCATGAGCCTTCATAAGCAACAGATCACTTTGTCAAATGCTATTTGCAAACTGCAGAACATGACCTACTGAAGCCTAGGCATGAAGGAATCGTATACAACCTGTTAGCTGATTCACCTGATAAGGTGAATACAACTAATTTTACACAGGGAAGCACTTGGACAGAGGATGAATTTTCCCCTCTATGCACCAGCTGGTTGTCCAAGCATGTCTAATGGACAAGCACAAATTACCTTGTCACTACTGCACCAGCCTTTTTCTTCCAATGCCCCACTATTGCAACTACCCAGCAACAGGGAGAAGCACCAATACAGATAGGGTTCGAATGGTTACGGGCATTTTTTCACGGTCATTATTGTATTTGCTCTGAACCAGGTTACATGGTAAAGAGGTCAGACTACAGGCCACGAATCTTCACTAAGATTCCCTCAGCTTCACACTGCATCGGTAGTAGTCCAACTCTGAGAAGTTTTAAAAATTATTCTGGTGTACTAAAAGCCATTTTTTTGCTGACTAAATAGCCGGTGATTTTTTGCCAGTGTGTGTGTGTGTGTGTGACCATAAATTCCAACTGAAGATCAATATGCTTCACTTCAAAAGCAATGGTGGGGAATGGGGCACAGCAGGCAGATGGGTGCTGAAGGGTACATGGGAAGTAGGGGAGTGCCAGATGAGGACTGTCTGTAGGGAAGATGCAGCAGCCGGGTTTGTGAGAAGATGAAAAGGAAAGCTAAGGACTGGACAAATGGAAACTGCAGGATAGCTGGGAACAGCTGGGTTTGCAGGGATGTCCAGGAAGAGGCTTCTCCCTTCTGTAGCTATTGCTGCTTCCACCTGACTGCCCCTCGCGAGTGATCTAGCAGGACACAGCGCTGAGAAGTGGCATGACTGCCTGTTCAGCATGTACCAGAGCATCACTGACACCTCTGTCATCACTTCACGACATTTAGTCTAGACTGTGGGAATGCAAGAAGGTGACCTGCATGCTTGATGTTGTGTAAGATGTGGGACTGCTAAAAGAATTGGAATGGTTTAAAAATTCCCTTTCTGAAACACACATTAAAAGCAAGAACTACTGAAGAGCCCCTTTTAGGGAAAACAAGCAAGTATTTGTTAGCGGGCATATGTCAAACAATTTATTGAAGAAGTAGGCCTTATAGGCAAGTCTGGCTCCTGCAAAACACTGGAGCTGCCTATACACATGCTCATTGGCATGCTGATTAGAGCGCTGCAGTCACTGCAGTGTCTCACGCATTAAGCCCCCATGCGTTTTAAAATGTCCGCAGGGCGCTTAACTAAACCTTGTCAAATGAAGATTGGATAATGTGTCCCACAGCCATTTTTAAATGCACAGAGGCCTAAATGCCTCACTGTTACATACACTAATTAGAGCGGCTGCCCAAGAACAGCTCCAATTAAAACACCCACCTCGGAGCACAAGTATCTAGGAAGCCTAGATTATTGCAATCCAGCCCTATCTAATCCAATTCAAATTCTCAGGTAGAAATGGTCTATATTTTTCAAACAAAGATTTCTGATTCAACAATGGCTTTTTAAAGAGATACTCCCCCAAATACTTTTCCCTTACAATCCGTTTCTCCTAGCAAAAGTGATTAAAGGGGGAAAAAAGGCAAACCACAAGGTTCAGAGTTTTCAAAACTAAGAGCTCCCAACAAACAATCAAATCAAGCTCTTCCTTTTGTAAGGGTGTAGAAGACAGGTTTCCAAAGTGCTACCATATTCCCACCTGCTCTACTTGGACATGCACACAAGGGCTTAGTGGTTCTGCTAAATGGAGTTCGAAGCAGGATTGATTTTTTTTTTTTTTTTTTTTTTAAACTTTAACCTGTATTTTTAAATGCCCCTTATTCGGGACATGGAACATTTACCAGAACCCTGCTAGCCAGCAGCAGAGGTAAACACAGATGACAGAAAAAACACGACCAAGGTCCAAAGGTGAGGGGAAAAGTTCAGCCTTCATACACCTGAACGTGGACACAGAGGTGCTGTTGACAGGTTAACTAAGGCTATGGCCACGCTGCACAATGGCTCCAAAAGTTGTGCAGCCACAACAGCAGTAAATTCACCCTGCTGAGGTGGGAAAGGGTAAGTTCACCTGGGCAGAGCACGACATTAATACAGTCAGGCTGTGTCTTGGACCCGAGCTGCCCTTGGCATGTCAACAGCACTGCGTTATGCCGTGTAGCCATACCCTAGTCCTTCTTTCCTATTTCCCATCTTTTTTTGCCCTACATTGTGATCTCTTAAGTGCATCCTTTAAAAATGAGAAATGTAGGAAACTGGCAAACATCACAGCATGCAGAAAATATCACAAGAAGAGTGTTCATATAGGGGCTTGCTCCTGGAGTTGTGGATAATGAAATTCTTGACCAACCTTGGAGTTCGGCATGCAAGCTGACTACAGGATTCCATTACAATTCAGCAAAACACTTTATTTCTACATATGGGTTTGGTTAACACAGTGGTAGTGGGGATCTGATTACTTTTACACTTACAGGATCTGAAAAGGATTGCTTTTTTGACTGGAACTTTATGCAGTTATATAGCCTACTTATGTAAATTATTGAAACTAGGCCAGACTCAGAGCTCAGGTGCACAATTACAAATTCAGAATAATGTCAAATCTTACTGAAGCCCATGGACTATTTTGAAATTGCAGGTATAACGGAGATCAGAATCTGACCCACAGTCTTCTTCTACTTGCATCAGCAAGGGGGCATTCCTTGGGACTTTTTAAGTATTTGCATACAAGTTCCTATCTTTCATGTGCTATAGTAACTCCCTGTCTGCTGTATTAGGAGGCCAGAGCTGTAAAAAATGCTTGTATTTGGCTTGTGTGACCACTAGTGCACTTCCCCTCAAAGGGCACAAAATGTTCTTTCCAACCCAAAGCAAACAAGCAAGTAGCACACAACAGAAAAGGAACAAGACAGAAAACTTCAGACTATGAGTCTGCTTGTCCTGACACCTAACTCTGCCTTTCTTCTTCACAACTATGCCCGTTCCATTCTTGCCTGCTTTGCCTGCTCCTAAGCTTCACACCGTTGCAGCCACACACAGACTCTACCCAACACTTGAAAGGCCTTTTTCTCGCAAGAGCAGCCTTCTTTACATGTGAAGTGAGGTACAGGACACCCCCTTCCCTTACCTCTCTCATCTCCCCTCAATTACTTTTGCCACCCCAGTAGGGTAGAGCTGCCCAGAGTATGGCCTCTGGCCCTTTCCGTGCTACAGACTGCTCTGGGCATAGCTGTCACTCACAGATAACACCTCTTGGCATAGCTAACTACACTAAGAGCTTTTTGCCAGCTGGCTATGTTGACCAGGGTATCGTTAGAGTAGCAAAAGGGCTAATCTACTAGCACAGCTTGTCTCAGGAGGTAGCAGGGCTGCTACCAGCTATACCAGCACAGAGAAGTTGTACTTGTATAAGCAGGAATCAACCCTACAATCACACCTGAATCAGCAGGTGTGTTCATAATTATTCAACCAATAGAAAGACATGAAGTGGTCTGGTAAGAGACACTTTAAGAGAGAAACAATAAAAACTGTTTAATCCCCAACACGAAAAAGCAGCTAATGTAATGATCTGGGCAAGATGTAACGAGTAGCAGAACCGTGCCTCACTTTCACAAAGGGAGCTAGGTCAGGATCTAGACAGAAAATGTTTCTTTTTTCCAAACGCATCAAGACAGTTTACTTTTCCGATTGGCTTGGAAAAGTAAATTACTGTCTAAATAGGAACATAGGATCCCTCCCACCCCAATTCAAATAAGTAAACGTTGGGCAACGGAACTAGGGCATAAATTAATCAAGTAGTCCCTTCCTCTTTAACTGGCAGGGTTCAAAGTACTCGCTTCAACATCTGACAGAGAGCATAGGGCAAGTGCCTTGCGAGAGATGCGTGTAGAGGGAACAGAAAGGGGAACATATATTTTTTAGATGCTCATAACCTTTCTTGGGTGGGTCAAGAGAACAGCACCACCACGTTTTTGTTCTCTTCATAGGAAAACTGATCTACTTTTTTCTTTGGCACAGCCTGAACTCTGTATCTCTGTATGCCACAGACGTGCCAGGGGCAGCCTGACTGTATTGATGTGGTGCTCTGCCCAGGTGAACTTACCCTTTCCCATCTCAGCAGGGTGAATTAGCCTGGATAGAGCACCACACTGTTGTGGCTGCACAGCTTCTGGGGCCATTGTGCAGCATATCCTTAGTTCACCCGTCAACGGTGCCTTCGCGTCCATATTTCAGGTGTATGGAGGCTGAACTTTTTAAAGGACATCTGAAGAACAAAGGCT